TAACTGGCCTTATAAGAAAAAGGCAGAAGGAGCTTTGGGGTTCCCAGAGAAGAGAAGGTGGTGTGAAGAGGAGAGAGCAGTTTTAGCAACACAGCCACAAGCCAAGGAGTGTCAGGAGCCACCAGAAGCGGGAAGAGGCCAAGAGAGAGCTTCCCTCAGTTCAGTTCAGTCGCTCAGGCGTGTCCGACTCTTTGCGACCCCATGGGCTGCAGCGCGCCAGGCCTCCCTGTCCATCACCAACTCCCGGAGTTTGCTCACACTCATGTCCATCATGTCGGTGATGCCATCCAACATCTCACTCTCTGTCGTCCCTTTCTCCTCCTGCCTTCAATCTTTCCCAGCGTCAGGGTCTTTTCCAATGCAGAGCTTCCCTAGAGCTTTCCAAAGGAGCGCAGGTCCGCCAACAGCTGGATTTTAGACTCCATTCTCCAGAACGGTGAGAAAGTTGACCCCTGTTGTTTTTAGCCACCATGTTTCTGGTGCTGGATCACAGCAGTGCCAGGGAACTAGTGCAGAGGCTCACAGAGGCTGAGGATGCTCCAGGGGGTCTGGTCAGACCCCCGACGGGAGACCGAGACGCTTGGTGATTATCACATGGGACTAGCTTTTCTCTCGGGCATCTTTTCAGCCTGGAGGAGGTCCTACCTATTCTTTGCTGTTGTGTGGTCACTCAGTCGTGTCCGACTCTTCGCAGCCCCATGGACTGCAGCACGACAGGCTTCCCTGTCCTTCACCGTCTCCTGGAGCTTGCTCAAACTCATGTCCATTGAGCCGGTGATGTTCCCACTGGAGAGTACTTCCCTTAGGGCTGGGAGTGGGTCCTGCTTGTCTTTTTACCCCTCAGGGTTTTATTAAACGGCTGATCGGATGAACACTGGCGTCTTGGGGATCCACGCACAGGAAGTGGCTGCGACTTCAGAGCTGACTCCTTTTCAAGGTGAAGGTTCTTGTGTGGGAAGAATATTTCTACAGAAGTTTTCTGAGGCCAGAGAGTGCAGTGAAGCATTCCCTTTGAGAGAGTCCTTGTACACATTCATCTCTGAAGTCACCCAGTGAACGGAGCCACTGAAAGGGCTTCGCACACTTTAATGTGCCCGTGGAGCCCCCGGGGATCTTGTTAAAAGGCAGGTTCGGATGCAGCAGGCCTGGGCAGGGCCTGGGCTGGGCCTGGGAGCCTGCATTCCTAACGAGCTCCCAGGGGGCATCGGGGCTGCTGGAGTCCCCGCCCCAGCCTTGGAGTCGCAAGCTGTGAACCGTCCATTGCTTCTGGAAGAGATGCTAAAATCACCTGCTCCGACGCCCCCGGGACGAAGAGAAGGAAACGGAGGCTGAGAAGGGGCCGTGGCTCGTCCAAGGTCGTGGAGCTGTGAATCCATACTGATGCTAACCTTAGCAGCGGGCCCTGGCTTGTCAAGGTGAGAAAGAAGGATGGGGGGGTGCTTTCCTTTGGAAGTACGAGGGCCCCCCAGACCCCACCCACCCCGACCAGCTCTGCTCCCACTCCCCACCCTTGTCCAGATTTTAAAACAAACGTCAGCTGCCAGGCTGATCGATAGGCCTGCTCATCTGCGAGGTTTGAAGCTCTCTCTCCACAGATGTAATCAGGGCTCCAGAGACGTCCTGGCAGCGGGCTGGTGGGGAGGGAGCGCGGTAATACATTTAATCAAGGAACAGATGGGGAGCTGATAGAGTGTGTAGAGAAATCAGGTTTCTGTGATCACATTGCCTTTCCCCCACTCAGCCTCCGCAGCCCGCGGCTCCTCCAGCGAGAGCACCCCGCACTGCTCCAGCCCTGCCCTTTCACGAGATGTTTTCCCGGGAACCTCAGGGCCCCGGAGAGGCGCGCGGTGGGCGTGGGGTGGAGGCTGCTGCCTGTTGAGCCCGTCCCCCGGCCCTCCACAGGGGCCCCTGTCCCTCGGCCTCCTCCACACCGCCTGGCTCCCCTCTCCATGCAGAGCCAGAGGAGGCTGGGAAGCGAGGGGACCCACAGGCCGATCGCTGAGTCCTCAGCGTGGTTGGCATCTGAGATGCCATCGGCTCCCTGTCTCCTGGTAGCCTGCAGACAAGAAACGGGGCTCATGTATCCACTGAACCCCTCACCCGCTGCCAAGTTCACAAACCCTCAGCATCCCCACCCCGCTTCCTCTGGAGGTATCAGGGTGCAATGAGAAGATGTCTCAAGACTCTACGGCTGTGGTTGTCGAGCAGGGTGACAGCGCCCTGGGGATGTCTGGCTATATCTGGAGACGTGACTGGTGGTCGTGACTCAGGGAGGATGCTCCCTACTTCTAGCGGCAGAGGCCAGCAATGTGGATAAACATCCTTCCTTGCACAGGGTGGGCCCCGCCACACAGGATGATCCCACAGGTCAGCGTCCGTAGAGTCCAGCCTGAAGAATCCTGCTCTTGATGGCAAGCCAGGTACCTCCAGGCTGACTGTGTGTAGTGGATTCACTGGGCTTTTTCCATCTGCATCCTGTCCTCAAATCAGCATGTTTACTCTCTGCCCAGCTCCTCCCATACCACGTGCGTGGACGAGGGCGCATGTGTGTACCAGACAGCGTGGCCCTAGGTGGGTCAGGACCGGGCTGGTGGCTGATCCAGGCAGGATGCTTACCTGGATCCTGGGGCGGGGCTGTGGGCGGCGTCCTGTGTCCTTACTGTGATGATGGCGCTCAGCCTTCAGGCTGCCCCTGCCCGTCGTGTGATTTAAGGAATTGGTAGGTAGTAAATAAATAAACGCACGAGAGGATTTTCCACTGCTTCTTGCAGCTCTGATTTCTTGTTTAGTCCTGGGAAATCCACCTTATAAGCAGGGATTTGGCAGCAGTGCCAGGGGTCAGGGGGTGGTCTCAGTCATCCTTGGCTCCTCCCACCACCCTTGCCCACTGGCTTCACTCTGGACCAGACCTCATTCTGGGACTGGCTGGTGGTCAGCAGGCTCCAGGGGATGAGCTGATTTATGACGTCTCCCTTCATGCTACTGATGGGATTCAACCCTCCCTGATACTGAAGCTATCGGGAGAGCAGAGTTCCTGCCTTTGGGGTCCCTGCCCAGAGCTTGGGGTGACCTCCTTGAAAGGCAGCAGCCTTGAGACCACACTCCTCCCTGCTTGCCCTGATCTTCCTAATATTAGCTTTTGACATTGACATAATGTGTTGCTAGTAATAACTTAACCCCCTATAGATACTGAGTGTTCATTCCATCCCAGCCTCTGAGCTCCACACGCTTACGTCACTCAGTCTTCTTGGCCATCCTGAGACACTCTGTGATCCCCATTTGACTAACGAAGAAACTGCAGCCCAGAGAGCGTGAGTCACTTGCTCAGGGTCACAGAGCCAGGAAGTAAGCCCGGCACTCAGGACTTGAGCCCTTGATTCCAGAAAGCATCCTCCTAGCAGCCCAGCTCCCCAATATCCATTGCCCCTCAAGGTGGTCCTCACACCCAGCATTACCTGGAAGCTGGTTAGATAGGTGGAGTCCCAGCCGGCCCCTCACACTGACTGGGAAACTGCGCTCGCCCTGCAAAGACCCTGGGGACCCGGCGGGGTGTTCCGACTGCTCCCACGCTCTCCGCTCTCTGTCCTGACACAGAGGCGGCTTTCTGGGAGGGTGGGGGTGGGCCTGGGGTGGGAGGAGGAGGCAGAGGATGCTTACGAGGTGCTAAGAGACTCAGGGGACCTGGGTGGACTGGGAGTGTGCCTGGGCCAATGTGGTTCGGCTTATGGAGTGTTTCCCAGGCCGACCGCCCAGGCTGGACACCACTGTGTCTGGCCCCATCCTGACCTCTCTTTCTCTGGATATTCAAAAAGGCTGGTTTTCTACTTGCGAAATCCCCTCCTTGAACCCTGACTCTTCACCTGACCCCTGAGGATGCAGTTGTTTCGTCTGCTTTCTAGGCCCTGGGAATCCCGGTCTCCCGTCTTCATGAACAAGCTTTCCTTGGATCCCCACATTCTGACACTTCTCCCAAACACTCCCTGCGTTTGATTCCTTGTAACTGTCTTTCCCTCTCATTGGAAACCCTTTCATCTCCCGTCTGGGCTGGGACTTGGGGCCTCTCCAGGGCCTCTGGGGGTGTTGTTCCTATTAGCAATTAGAATATAAAAGTGAAGCCATTTATCAAAGCTACACAGAAAGCAATACACAGCTGCCCCGCGGGGAGAGTGGGCCGGCAGACCCAGACGCGGCCGCCTGTGACTCCCACCGCCTCCACCACGCACGTTGGGAGGAGGCCAGCAATCGTGAACAGACGTTTCCTTGTGGCCCCACAGGTAGGTGGTCGTACTTCCACTTCACATCGGAGCCGCAAAGACATAAGTGGCTCCCTTTGGTTGCGTGAGTAATTTATAATTACAGTCAGAGAGAGGCAACAGTCAGATTAAGCCTCTGATGCCTACTTTGGCCGCTTCCTTTTTCATTCCAAGTGAGGAGGATCAGCTGAGAAGTCAGGCTCTCTATGGGGTGCTGTAAGTCTCCATGTACCCGGAAAGTTCTGCAAGCAGGTTGCTTTAATGAAAGGTTGCACAGACTTTAGATGTACTTATCCATTTCAGCTGTAGATCTGCTCAGCTGTGAGACAATGCAACGGGTCATTTTATACGGAGGTGACTCCACCCAATGGAAAAAGGCCAGAACTTGCGTGGGGTGAACTGCCGCTTGCCTTTCGGTGATGGGAGGCGAAGATCTTCAACTCTTTGTTAAAGTTTTCCTGCTGAAAAGGGAGTAGACATAGTCTAAATTGTGAGAAGGTTATCTGAGGACCAAAGTAGAATTAGCAAGGAGACATTTGGATTTATAATTGTAACAGTTAACAATAGTAAGAGCTGGCATTCCTGAGCACTTAGAGTGTCTCAAGCATATATGGATTGTTCTCCTTCCATTGTTCCCACCTTGGTCTGAAGATAAGAACCTTCCAAAGGGAAGGTGTTGGGGAAGCAAGCTTCACTTCTCCCTAAAGGTCTAATTGGAAGCACCTCACATCAGCTGGGCCATGTCCCTCATGAGGGCACGCGCTCCTTCCGCCCCCTGGCATCTCCCAGCAAGAGCCCGATGAGAAGGACAGACTCTGGCTTGGTTTCCTGCCCCACCTGGTCACCACGCTCGGGGCTGGCCCGAGGCCTGGCCTCGCTCACCTGCTGGCAGCCACCGCGCTCGGCCTCCTGGAGGCAGCTCTCCTTCCCACTCGTGCTGGGGTCTGCCAGGCGGGCAGGGACCCTGCTTGACCAGCCGAGGTCTCCCCTGGGCAGAGTCTGAGACCTGGACTTGGAGTAGGGAGCCCTCATCTCAGCCCTGGGAGCATCCTCCAGGCCGTCTCAGGAACCCTGGGCTCTGAGCAGGGCCTGCAAATGTTCCCCGACAAAGTCCAGAGAGTAACACTTTCCGCTTCCTGCCCCAGTGTCTCCACGGCAACGACGCGGCTCGGTCATTGGAGCACAGAAGTGCCACGAACAATAGGAAAATGAGCAGGTGCGACCGAGTTCCTTTACAATATTATTCCAGAAACAGGCAGCGGTCAGGCAGCCTGTGAACAGCAGTCCGTCCATCTGCTGTAGGGTCATCGGGCCTCCGTTGATAAGCCGGTCACTCCAATCAACACCTGGCTCCACGAGCTCGGCGGACAGGGAGGGTGTGGGATGGGGGCTCCAGGAATTCAGCTTGCACCTCGAGGATGGCTCACCCACCTCGTCAGTCTGCCCCCAGCGGGGTCAGTTGGATTACCCCCATTTCACAGATCAGCAGATGGAGACCCAGCCTCCGCCCTTGGCCCTGAGTTCACACTGGTGGTGATGTTTCGGTTGGACCCCCATCCGTGGGGTCTCAAGAGCCATGTTCGTGCTTTTGTTGGGCTTGTGATGAGAAGGGGCCCAATGAGGAGCCCACCCAAGCTGGCAGGGGCTGCACTCGGGTGGGTGTCCCCCACCCCCAGTTTGGGAGGCATTAGGGCGAGGGCTGCCCGGGGTGGGGGGTGTCCTGGGGACCTGCCTCCTTGGAAGATTCCCTCCAGCTCTGACTCCAGGCTCACCTGCTCTCTCTCCCGAGGTGTACCTGATGATCCTTGAGGTTGGGGACACCTACTCCCTGTCCCCACCAGGGACCTGGCTGACCAACCAGGAAAGGCCAATGGTGGGGAACGGCCTCTCTGGGCTCCCCAGACCCTGGGAGTGGACTGAGAGCCCCCAAATCAGTGGCCTTGGTCCCCACCAGGAAGCCCCCACCTCTCCGGGATGGAAGCGGTGAAAGCTTCGCTTTCTAAAAGAATAACATGCAAATCGGTTGTCTGACTCCAACACTCCCAGCGGGAGATCCCAGCGCAACCTGCCAGCGCTGACAGCGAGGAAATGGTGACAAATGCCACCGCCACGCCGTCCCAGCGCCGCAGCAGAAGGCGAGACTGGGGCTCTGCGCTGCGGCGTCTACTTTGTTTTCCTGGGGGAGGCTGGACGCTCCCGAGACAACAAGTGTGGGTGATCACCTGTCACTGTAGATGCGGACTCTGAGGCTCCGCCAAGGTCAGTAGACCAGGCGTCTACCTGGCCTCCTGGCCCTCCTGGCGTGATTAGAAACACAGAGCTATGATTACACGAAGGGGAAGGGCTCTATCTGCTTGTTCCGGGCTGTATCCTGAGGGTGTAGTGTAATGTCTGGCACATAGTAGGTGCTCAATAAATGGGGCATGGATGGAACTTCCCTGGTGGCCTGGTGGTTGAGACACTGTGCTGCCGATAAAGGGGGCGTAGGTTCAGTCCACAGTTGGAAACTTAGCTCCCACGTGTGCGGCACAGCCAGAAGATGTTTTTAAAAAAGAAAGAAAGAACCGTGTACTGGGTGAATTGGTGGTGACTGGGGTCAGGGAGGGGAGGCCACCGGCACTCAGCTGCCCCCGCCACCCCCAAACAGGGCACACGGCTTGAAGAGGTCTCCCAGGGCAGAGCTGTTTGGACAGAAACCAGCATCGCAGGGCCACCCAAGAGCAGACACGGCCTCCAGGTCCCAGGCCCCGTGCCATCGGCAGCTGAGCCTGGTGCTTCATCCGCAGATTGGGGCTGGCACCTCTCAGAGGTCTGCAGCCCCCAGAAAGAGGTCCAGGAAGGCCAAAGCTGCACTGACCAGCCCTGAGCACTTGACGTTGGCTTCATTTTGTCTTTAGCTTGCAGAAGGATATGGATTTCACATGAGGCTGGGATCAAGTCCCAACTTGGCCAACCCTATACCTTACCCACTATCCCCTGGCAAGTTATTCAGCCTCCAAGTTGTCATTTTTCTCATCTGCAGAAAAAGACAATGCAGTCAACCCTGGAACAATACGGGTTTGAACTAGGTAGGTCCACCGATACATAGATTTTTTTTTTTTCAATAACTATAGTACCTGAATTTTCATTTTTGTGTGAGTGCTCAGTCGCTAAGTTGTATCTGACTTTGTGACCACGATGGACTGTAGCCCACCAGCCTCCTCTGTCCATGAGATTTCCCAGGCAAGAATACTGGAGCGGGTTGCTATTTCCTCCTCCAGGAGATCTTTCTGACTCGGGGATCGAACCTGTGTCTCCTGCATTGACAGGTGGATTCTTTACCACAGAGCTACCTGGGAAGCCCAATTTTCACTTTACAGGTCTTTAAAGTTGTCACCGTTTGTGTTCAGTTAGAGATCATGATATGTGAAATCAAAAGAACGAGGGTATGACTCCTGATTCTATCCTAACTCTTTGAGCTTCCTACCCTTGGGTGAGTCTTTTATCAATTCCTTTGTTTTTTGAGGCTAAAACAGCAGGGTGAGGATTTTCGATGGTGTGGGGGTCTGCGTCTTATCCCCTCCATTGTTGATGGGTCAGCTCTGTATGTAAAACTCTTAGAATATTGCCAGACAAGAAACAATCAATCAAGAGATGCAGCCTGCTGACATTATCACAGATTAATTCTCAGTCGGTATCATGGACAAGAGGACAACAGGAAAGTCCTGGCTTTTGGGCCAGGTGCCTGGGCCTTGTTTACATCCATCCTCCCCACGTGACCCTGCTCATCCCTCCAGCAGGCTCCAGCTGGAGGCCCGGGGAGAAGTGGGCAATGTGTTAAGAGAAACTGCCAGTCAATCTCCCTTCTTTTCAAGGACCTCCTTCCAAGGCTGGATTTCAGGACGCATCCCCTGGCTGGAAGGGATGCAGAGATGCCCCAGCCGTGCCCCCAAAAAGGGGAACAGGAAGTGCAGGCAGCCTCAGCCTCAGAGAGCTGACCCCCTGAGACCTCTACTGTCCGGGGCAGCTGGGCCCCCAGGGACCCGCTGGGTGGAGTCTGAGGCCTGGCCCTTGGGCTCAGCGCTACCTCTGTCTGCCCTGCTTCCCACCCCTTTGCAGGGTTGATCCCGAGTAAACACTGGGTACCTTGGCCCTCAGTGTTTATTCCCGGCCCCTGACCTAGGCCAGCCTCCCCTCTCCAGGCGTGTCACTGAGCGTCCCTCTCAGCCCCACCCTGGCAGGAAAGCTCCCTCCCAGGGGCCCCCTGCAGCCCTCCCCTCCCTCCTCTCTCTGCACCTCCAACCCCCCGGCTCAGCTCACAACCCACCTGAACGCATCTCTCTTTCCTCCCCCTTCTCCTTGCCAAGTCCCTTCATTTCCCTGTTGCCGGCTGTCTGAGGAATTGTTTACCACCATAAACCACAATACAATTCCATAAATCTGTTATTTATCCTTCCTATTATTATTCCCCATTATTTATTTCTGAAACTCTATTATTAAATCTGTAAAGTGTTCGGTGATACACTGGCAATGAAAGACACTCCATAAAGGCGAGTTTATGATTATTATTACTCTGTGATTAAAACAAGGAAGAAAAATGAACCGTATTAAATCAAACCGGATTCCCTCTCTCCAGCAGGGGCCCCTGCTTTTAGGTGAAGGACGGCCCCCCGGGTCTGGGCTGGGTGCAGGCTCTGTCTTCCTCGTTGGCAGCCCTCCTGACCCGTTCCCTTCATGGCAGCTGTCAGTGACACCTGGGCGAAGCACGGATTTGCCGGAGGATCCGTCACTGGGTGGAGTTTGTTCGGGGCAAAGCAAAAGCGATTCCGTTTGCAGTCTTACTTTTTGCCATCAGTCACCATCAGTGACATGAAGAGGTAATAGAAGTGCCCAGGAATCCTGCATTTTATTTCCACTCGGCAGCATTTCTCTTGCAGGGGAAACATAAATTCAGCTGATTTTTGTGCAGATTTTGCAAAAATAGTCTCTCTCCTTGCTCTGTGGACCTACGTGATGCAAGGACAGAGGGATGGTTCTGCCTGGAGGTCGGAGTTGGTCTCAGCCTCATCCAGGGGGAGACGTAGGGAAGGAACAGGGGCCCCATGGAGAGTCACCTGGTATGTACACAGTGTTAACAGGTTAGGGAGCTGGGAGCGGGAGGCTTTCTGCATCACCTGGCCACATCCATCCTTTAGTGCAGTGGTTCTCAAAGTGTGGTCCCTGGACCAGCAACATCAGCACCACCCGGGCACTTGTTGGAAATACAAACTCTCAGGCTCCACTCCAGACCAACTGAATCACAAACTCTGGGGGTAAAGTCCGGGGACCTGTTTGAACAAGTCCTCCAGGTGGTTCCAGCGCACTGCAGAATGGGAGAATCACTGGGTGAGCACATTGGATTCAAAGGGCCCTCCAAACCAGTCAATCCTAAATGAAATCAACCCTGAATATTCACTGGAAGGACTGATGCTGAAGCTGAAGCCCCAATACTCTGGCCACCTGATGCTAAGAGCCGACTCATTAGAAAAGACCCTGATGGTGGGAAAGACTGAAGGCAAAAGGCAGAGGGGGGAGCAGAGGATAAGATGGTTGGATAGCATCACTGACTCAATGGATGTGAGTTGGAATAAACTCTCAGAGATAGGGGAGGACAGAGGAGCCTGGTGTGCAGCAGTCCATGGGGTCACAAAGAGTGGGACACGGCTTAGTGACTGAACAGCCACAACAAACAGCATCTAACTGGGAGCTTCTTAGGAAGACAGATCGTAAGATTCCCCCAGGATCTGTTGATTCAGAATCAGCATTTCTGCAAGCTTCCCAGGTGCTCTTTCACCCATTAAAGTTGAAGAAGCACTGCTTTAGTGTCTTCACTGCTCTGTTCAGGTCTAGTGGACAGAAGGCAAGGCCCAGCTTGTGAGGTTGGAGGTGGGGGACTGGAGCTGTGAGGTGATGGCAAAGCCCAAGGGACCTTTAGGGATGAGGGACCTGGGGCAACTGGAGTTGGGCATCTGGGGGTTAATGAGAAATGCACAAATCACTACCTCTGACTCAAA